GTGTAATGATCAAATTGATCGCCAACTTTGAATCTTTCGTCCGTCTTTTTTGTTGTTTTTGCACATACATCGGCCGAGCGTGGCCTTTTTAAAGAACTACCGTAACGTTATAAACCCATAAGAAAAACTGCCCTTAAACGAAAACAATGCCGAAGAAGGGAATTTAACCCAGGGTAGTGGGGCCCGAAGAAGTCTTAAACAGGGACATGAGACCTCGTTGTCACGCCACTGCTCGTAATGCCCTAATATTTCCAAATGTTTTTAGTTACCGAAGAGCGCACTATATATTTCCTGAATAGAATTAACTGTATTTTAAGCTATAGTCCTGGAAATCGTTGTCTGCTAAACGTTAGTTTGATTCTGAAAGAACTTTATTTACATAATGATTCTCTAATAACGTACAGTGTTTTAGTAAAGTTTGTTTTAAAAATTACAGTGGTCATACCAAATGTATTTAATAGAATGTAGTGAATAGGAACTCACTGATAAGATTCAACTTTGCAAAAACATATCGATTGGTAATGGTGCAAAGAAAATCTCTGATCTAATGATCCTCCCAACATTTTGCGCAACAATAGTTTCCCAATCGATAGGAAAAGAATCGACAGATCAATGGATGAACTTGTTGATAATGTGCCTACCGTAAGTCTATAACATGTAATAGTATAGGGTATTACACCACATTTATGTAATATTATCGCTACTAAATATTATCGTCATAATAAATAATAGGCTAGTAGGCCTACTTGTATTGTCATAATTGCATGAAATTGGAAAATTATTTCACCAATAGACGTTTAAATGTAAGTGGTGCGGTACACGATTTTGTCGAGCATGTTTGCGAGGAGACTTCACCGGCTGTATGTGGGAGCCAGGTCGCTGCAGGGTTTGCAATCAGGTAAGTAATGTATATTGTATTAAATGTTCTCTGGTAAGCATCTTGTACAGGGACATATTCCCTTTTTTGCCTACCAGACTCATTACGTTTTGAGTGAAATAAAATTAGGAATTATGAATTATGTTCAATCAACAATATTCAATCAATCAACTACCTATTTACTAACATTTCTCCCCACACTATACATCCATCCTTTCTCTCAAACCCCCTCCCACCCCACCCACCTTTATCAATGCATTCTAATCTTTTCTCTCCCTAATAATGCAGGAGAATGCTAGGCCTTTCTGTGTTCCTATTAAGTCTCTTCAGATCAGTACACTTTTGGTGATCTTTCACACGATTCTTCTCATACCAAAGGATACGCTGCTCCCAACGTCCACTTTGTTTATCACTCGATCCATCGAAGTCTCGTCGACATTCATACCCTCGCACCTCTTTCTTATGAAGAAACAAACTCTGCTCTTATATTCCCCTTTTTTCATGTACAATTATTCTAGCTTGTTATTAACCCTTTAACGTCAGTGCGCTTATGAACGCAATTCAACATTCAAAATGAAGTTGTGACTTATGAGTTATTATCCTACCTTACCTTTACCTCTTTTTGTACATCCCCATGCGTTATATTACAACAGAATCAATTATTGTATCAAAATATATTTAACACCGCGATTGCGTGTGTGAACATGGTATTAATCTTAACTTAAGATTAATACTTAAGCGTTATTTCTTCAGGTGAAATGTACTGGAGAACGAGTTGAATATGTGGAAAGGTCTAAACAGCCCACGAAAACGGACAGCTTGTCTTCAAAGAAACGCGGAAAATCATCAAAATCAACTAGACCTAAATCAAATAAATCAGGAAGATCATCGAAGTCATCAAAGAGCAAAAAAGGCAAAAAGAAGAAATGAAATCATGCCTATTTATGTAGTTCTTTATACTGTAAATATTTCATACTTTTAAAATTAAAGATGTGCTTTGTAATATCTCCTTGATTCGTCATTATACCATGTATAATTTTCTATATTGTACCTGAGCATCTAATCTAAAATTTTAGATATCAATGAAAAGAACCAGGCAGGGGCGTAGACTGGGGTGTGGGGATGCCGCACCCATTAAAAAAGGCAAAAAAGTTCCGCTGGTGTAGGCCTAAGCATGCTTATGACTATGAGCAAAAATTCACTCGTACTATTAGGCGGAATGCATAAGACTTTTTGTGCAAGTGGATTGCGATGGTAAAACGGACTCTGGTATCTACACAGGGGAAAAATGTGCAGTAAACACTAGAAACGTTAACAAGCTCTTATTATTAGCATGGTCCATGTTATTAGGGAGCTTAATTTCGATTTGTTTGACAACGCGACGCTAGAATGTAATCACTCATGCGTGACCGACCTGGCGTCCTACGTTCTCTGCATACGTAGATTTGGCCAAATTGCGTTCCCTACTCAACAAGGTGACTTTAACGTTCTCGCATGCGCAGATGACTTTTAGTGACTTCATTACGTTCTACGTCCTACCGTCGTCGTGCAATCGAAAGCGCCCTATTATTCTCAAACTTTGACGAAAACTCGGTTAATTCAGGGGACAGTTAAATTATTGCATACAAGATTTAACGGTATTATAAAAACTTATTACAAAATTGAACAAGCATTTACATACAATAAAATTTTACAATATATAGACAATTTTGCATGGTATAACCAGATTTGGCAAACTTGGGCAGTGGGTTACCAACTGGAAAGTGTCGCTAAAGTCTGAGAAATGCAAAGTACTCTCTTGTACCCTCAAAACTAAACCAATTAATTGTAATTATATGATCTCTAACGAGGCACTTTAAAATGTTGAATGGCATAGAGACTTGGGCATTTTTATTGACAAAAAATTAACGTTTGCTTTTCACGTGGACCATGTCGTTGGCAAGGCCAACAGGTTACTTTGACTGATGTGGCGCAATTGACACAAATTTCCTCCAACCACAAAAATTGCACTTTATAAGTCTCTTATATAACCTTTATTTGATTTTTGTTCAGTTATTTATAATTCAATATCCGACACACAATCTTCTAGAATTGAAAGAATCCACAATAAGTTTTTACGTTTTCTCGGCCCAGAAACCTGTTGGCCTTGCCAAACTCCTATTATTTCCCCTAAAATTAAAAGACAAATTACAGTGTAATGATTTATTTTTTTTACAAGTGTTTTAATTCTATGTTTACCCGTAATATTGTTCCTAATTTCTCTCTTAATGTCCCTGTTCGTAGACTTCGTTCTAAACCTATTTTAAATGTACAATTTTCAGGTGTTAATGTTTGTAAAAATGGTATATTTTGTAGATTGTCTTCACTTTATAATAATTGTGTTTGTGATAATCTTGAATTTGATATTTTCATTGTAATTTTTCTAAGTTTAAGTCTAGTACATTCGAGTCTTCTAAATAATCTTTAATGTAATAATTTTGACTTTTTACTTATATTGTGTAAGTTTTTTACTGTTTTTATATTTCCATCCTGTAATTGGTGTTTACACTGTTGGATGTGCAATAAATAAATTAATAAAATAAAATTAATTTATAATTTTTGAAAAACGTAAACCAAAATTTAAAACACGTAACAGAATATTTAAAAAAATAAACACGTTTATGCATTAGTTATTGTCTGAATACAATGCCGATGCTCTAAGAATGCAAGTACTCTATAAGAGAATGTATAGCCTTTAAAATACGGTACTGTACATCTAAAAAGAATATTTTTTTATAACTTATAAAGGGGATGCCTACAAGAGCCTAATAATAATAGGCCTATATCAATTACATGTATTCATATTTTGCTTGTAATCTTCGAAGGTAGCAGACCAATTGAGCATTGATGTATCTTTCCATTCGTAATAATCTTCTCTCCACTGCTTTTAAGGATCGTCTATATCAGCTGGAATTTTTAAAAATCATTAAAACTTTATAAGCCAAGCATTCTATCAATATCTAGCCTCACATTGTATTCAATCAATTATTTCTTTTAAATTAAAGACCCCAAAAACCACAATATAAGAATCTTACAATAAATACCTCATTTAATTACATATTTTAACGTTTCTTTATCCTATATGTATGATTTTAATTATTGTTTAATGTATACAATATTAAAGGATGACCTATTTTCGATCAAGGGCCAATAACGTATCAACATAGTTAGTGTTAGTTTTAGTATTAGAAGCCTATAAGTATAGATATTGTTAGATCAAAGTAAGTACTGTGGATTAATGGTATTGGTATAATAGTTTTGGCAATATTAGCATTAATTTTGTATGCCTATAAGTATTTGTGTATTTGTATTTGTATTTTTTTATTGGTACTATTATTTGTATTGGTGTGGTAGAGAGAGGCAAAGGGTTAGTAGTAAAGCAGTATACTACTAGTATTAGGCCTAATAACAATGTTAATATTATGGGTAGAGTGATACAAACCTGTATATGTCATTAATCGTGGAATGTAATTGTTCCAGAATGAACAATATTCCGCCCTCCGCTGTTCCGCTGTTTGTGTTACAATATAGGGCAACCACGGCTCAAAAGTCTCCCTCGAGGTGTCGCTCAGGGTTTCTAAATTTGGATTTCTCAAATGAGAAAAAAAAAGTTGCTTTCGTACTCTTCGTACTGGCAAATGACGCTGCAAAGAGTAGGCAGTTACGAGATGTACAAAAGCAAAATACCAAGATGCTACATTATTTATATTAAATAACATCAGAATTTCAACACGAATAAAATAAGAACATTAAGACTGAAAGTGGAAAAGATCTTAAGTTAAGTGCTAGGCAGTAGAACCCTAAAAATATGATGTATCTACGGCCTATACATACTGGGACAGAATATCTCGGTAACACATGATTTTACTTTCAAGTATTAATACTAATACAGTAACTAATATGATTTATATAACATACATAATCCACTTAAATTTGAAAATGTAAAACAAGTACGATTGCACAAAGTAAAAACCTAGACATGAAGATATTTTAATTCGAATATTTCGAGCACTTCTGTGCTCTTCCTCAGCGATAACAAGTGTTGTTTTACATTATCAGGATGGGCATACGTGGTATATATATATATATAAATATATATATTTATATATATATATTTAGGTCTATATATATATTATATATAGGCCTATATATATACTGTCTCTTATACACATCTAGATGTGTATAAGAGACAGGAATATTTTTTTATAACTTATAAAGGGGATGCCTACAAGAGCCTAATAATAATAGGCCTATATCAATTACATGTATTCATATTTTGCTTGTAATCTTCGAAGGTAGCAGACCAATTGAGCATTGATGTATCTTTCCATTCGTAATAATCTTCTCTCCACTGCTTTTAAGGATCGTCTATATCAGCTGGAATTTTTAAAAATCATTAAAACTTTATAAGCCAAGCATTCTATCAATATCTAGCCTCACATTGTATTCAATCAATTATTTCTTTTAAATTAAAGACCCCAAAAACCACAATATAAGAATCTTACAATTAGTACCGGTACCTTATTTAATTACATATTTTAACGTTTCTTTATCCTATATGTATGATTTTAATTATTGTTTAATGTATACAATATTAAAGGATGACCTATTTTCGATCAAGGGCCAATAACGTATCAACATAGTTAGTGTTAGTTTTAGTATTAGAAGCCTATAAGTATAGATATTGTTAGATCAAAGTAAGTATTGTGGATTAATGGTATTGGTATAATAGTTTTGGCAATATTAGCATTAATTTTGTATGCCTATAAGTATTGGTGTATTTGTATTTGTATTTTTTTATTGGTACTATTA